GTTGATTAAATAGTGGATTAAGTCCTTGATTGAGAAAGGCAAATCACTCTAGGAAGGGTGGACTGGAGTAGTTGAGTTCAACGAACCAGGATAAAAATACTTGAGTTTTTATTTCTAAGTTATAATCTTCATACTTATTCAACCCCCTTCTAAGTATTTTCTCACCTTCACAAGATTGCGATGATCTTGGCGAGCACATTTCCATTTTTCTCCCCTATTCCACACTCCTATCCATCTTCCATTTTCCCCATCCTTTCCCGTAGTCGAACTACGAGGCTCTGATTTCTCATTCTCGTCCGAATGAGCATACGTAGGCACAAGGGCCCCAATCCTTGGCGAGCACCATATTCACTAACCACCCATTTCTCATTTGCGTCTTTAACCTCTTATCCTACCAATTCTACCTTTATCATCGAGAAGAAAAACAAGTAAACCTAGACAACACTCTCCACAAAATACCTTAAGAGGTTCCCGTTGAGTACAACGGACGTGAGGGGTGCTAATACCTTCCCCTCGCGTAACCGACTCCCGAACCCGGAACATGGTTGCGACAGTCCTGTTCCTATCCTTTCGCTTTAAGAGGTTTTTTCGATATTTTCCTCTCCCGTTTATTCGGGAAAATCAAAGTTCGGTGGCGACTCTGTCGAACCGCATTTTTCGTGCCTTTCGCGCGAGGGTCGTTTCTCCAAAATGTCTCCGTGATTTTTCGAGGTGCGACAGATAAATCACCTCTGGAAGCATAAATAAAAGAAGTTCAGAAACTCCAAAAGACCAGAACAACGTGGGGAATCTTCTGAACACAAAAGATCTGGCAAGAAAGAAGTTGTTTGCTATAAGTGCAAGGAGCCAGGGCACTACAAAATGAATGTCCCAAACTTCAGAAGGAGAAACCCAGAAAGAAGTTTGAGAAAAAGAAGAAAGTCCTGATGGCCACGTGGGATGACTCAGATGCTTCTGAATCCTCATCAGAGTCAGAGGACGAATGTGCAAGTATGGCCCTAATGGCTGACGTGGAGGAGCACGAGAAAACATCTGAATCTGGATCAGATTCAGAAGAGGTATTTTCTGATCTTACTAGAGCTGAGCTAATTGAAAGCTTATCTGAGATGTTTGAAAACTATAGTAGGATTAGACTCAAATACAAGAAGCTTCAAAGCTATCTTGCATCTGAGACTGATCAGATGAAATCTAAAATTGCTGAGCTAAAAGAAAATAATTTTCAAATAAAAACTGATTTAGAAAAAGCTCAACAAAAGTCTGATTCAAATACTATGTCTTGCACCATAAATATTTTAGAAGAGTACGACTATAGTTTTCAGAGGTTCCTGTCCAGAGGCCTAGATATAAGCAAAATGGCTTCCATGATCTATGGTGTTAGCAGGAATAACAAAAAAGGAGTTGGATATGAATCACCTTGTGGGAAGGATTTAAATCCAAAACCTGTTGATAAGCTGATCATTAATTATACTCCTCTGTACACTCATTTTAAATATGGTCACCTAAATGACATAAAGCACACACGTACAGATCAGATCACAAAAAGCTTTATTAAACCAACACCTCGTCAGAACACAAAAGTTTTTAAGGGACAGAAGTTCAGGCAGAACTTTAGACCAACTAACCCCAGAGGACCCAAAAAGATATGGGTACCTAAGGATAAAATAAATTTTGTTGCAGATGTTCTTAGCAGCAAAGTTAAGACACCAGTCATGGTACCTGGACTCTGGCTGCTCACGACATATGACGGGAAGAAGGTCTATGTTCCAAAGCCTGGAACTTAGATCTGGAGGAGATGTGAAGTTTGGAGGAAACCAAAAGGGCAAAATCATTGGCTCTGGAACAATTGGTAATGGTAACCTCCCTTCTATCTCTAATGTTCTGCTTGTTAAAGGATTAACACATAACTTATTGTCCATAAGTCAATTAAGTGACAATGGTTATGATATAATCTTTAATAAAAAATGTTCTAAAGTTGTTAGTCAGAAAGATGGTTCAATCCTCTTTAATAGGAAAAGGAAGAACAACATTTATAAGATAAATCTTTCAGAACTGAAAAATCAAAATGTAAAATGCCTTGTATATCTTTTAATGATGAGCAATGGGTCTGGCATAGAAGATCGGGTCATGTTATCATGAGACGTATATCTCAGATTAACAAGCTCAATCTGGTAAGAGGACTTCCTAAGTTGAAGTTCAACTCAGATGCTCTTTGTGAAGCATGTCAGAAAGGAAAATTTTCAAAGTCTTCTTTCAAATCTAAAAATGTTGTTTCTACCTCCAGACCATTAGAGCTACTTCACATTGATCTGTTTGGACCAGTGAAAACTGCATCCATCAAAGGCAAGAAGTATGGATTATTCATAGTTGACGACTACAACAAATGGACATGGGTAAAATTCTTAAAACACAAGGATGAGTCACACTCTGTATTCTTTGACTTCTGCAATCAAATTTAAAATGAAAAGAATTTTAATATTGTCAAGGTCAGAAGTGATCACGGTGGTGAATTTGAAAATAAATATTTTGAAAAATATTTTAAAGAAAATGGCATTGCACATGATTTCTCTTGTCCTAGAACTCCTCAACAGAATGGAGTTGTAGAACGAAAGAATAGAACATTGCAAGAAATGGCCAGAACCATGATCAATGAGACTAATATGGCTAAACAATTTTGGGCAGAAGCAATAAATACATCATATTATATTCAGAACAGAGTGTCTGTAAGACCTCTTATGGAGAAGACTCCTTATGAATTGTGGAGGAATAGAAATCCCAACATTTCTTATTTCCATCCTTTTAGATGTGTTTGTTTTATTCTGAATACTAAGGATAATCTGAACAAGTTTGACTCTAAAGCACATAAGTGTTTTATGATTGGATATTCTGAATGCTCTAAAGGCTATAGAGTATACAATACTGAGACACAGATTGTGGAAGAATCAATTCATGTCAGATTTGATGATAAGCTTGGCAATCAAAAGCCAAAGCAGTTTGAAATTTCTGCAGATAGAGAAGTTCTTCTCACAGACTCTGAAGAATCAGAGGCAGACAAAGTTCAAGCAAAAGAACAAGAAGCAATGCCAGATGCTACTCCATTGGCTGCTCATCTGCAAAGCTTAACTATTTCTGAAGAAACCACTCTGAAAGGATCCTCCAGAATCAAAGCTTCTCACCCAGAGGAAATGATTATTGGAAAGAAGGATGATCCAATCAGAACAAGATCCTTTCTCAAATCACCTAGAACATCACAGTTTGGTTTAGTACCTCTGTGGATGAAGCTCTGCAAGATAATGATTGGATACTTACTACGCAAGAGGAGCTAAATCAATTCACAAGGAATGATGTTTGGGATCTGGTTCCAAGACCAAAAGGATTTAATATTATTGGAACGAAATGGGTTTACAGAAACAAGCTGAATAAGCAAGGAGAAGTCATCAGAAACAAAGCTAGACTGGTTGCTCAAGGCTATAGTCAGCAAGAAGGTATTGATTACACAGAGACATATGCTCCTGTGGCAAGGTTAGAATCTATACGTTTGCTTATTTCTTTTGCTGCACATAATAACATCACTCTGTATCAAATGGATGTTAAAAGTGCTTTCTTAAATGGCTTAATTGAAGAAGAAGTTTATGTTCATCAACCTCCTGGATTTGAAAATGAAAAATTTTCAGAACATATTTTTAAATTAAATAAATCACTCTATGGCTTAAAACAAGCTCCCAGAGCTTGGTATGAGAGGCTGAGTAATTTTATCAGAGGAAATAATTTTAGTCGACAAAAGCAAAGTAGAGTAAAACGTTGGTGAGAAAGGAATTCTGATGTTCTCATAGATGTCCTTTATAGATGCAAGTTGGAATTTTTTTTACAAACATCAAGGTCCAGGCCCAACTTGATCACAGGCTTAAGGGAACTATCCATTCTAGTTGGGACCATAATGCTTTTAAAGATCTAAACTACTTGATTAGTCAGCTTCACATTCTCATGGCTATTGTGTGCAGTAGAAAATCCAAAATTGCTGTTTTTACCAATATTAGACATAACCTCCTCCTGGGCCACTTTGTACTCACCTTTATGCACAACCTTGTTTCTAACAAAAAAATCATTATTATCCGACACTCCTTCTGATAAGATAGGGCTGGCTATACTGCTTTCATTATGATCCCTACTCTTATTAAGTTTTTTCCTTCCTTACCTTTGTCTTCTTCATCATCAGATGTTTTTGAAACAGTTTCCCCACCTTCATAATCTTCCTCTTCCGAACAAGAATCATCCAAAGAGCTATCGACTTCATCCTTTTTCTTAACATAAATACGTTTAGGACCATGATAATCTTCCACCAATTTTAGCCTGTAAATCTTGTTGTTAATATCAACATTAAAGGTTTCATTGAGATTTGAAGAAAACTTTGTTTTAACAAGGAATCTAGCCACATCCAATTAAGTCTGATTTTCAGTATCTGCATCACATTCCATATATTCCCCCATACATCCTGCTATAAGCTTAAGGAACTGAGGATTCCAAGCGTGGCATGGAAGCCCATAGGATTTCAACCAAGTAAGTCTTTCATTATCCACATCTTCAGGTGTCCACTGATGAACATCAGAAAACCAAAGTCGCATCCACTATTCATCTTCCATGATCAGTGAGTTTACCACCCCATCCTGTGATTCTTCAAGTAAACATAAATTCGCTCCTAAAGGCGTAGCTTTGATCATGAATAAACCCTCCGAATTCAGAGCTTCTTGAATAACAAACATAGAACCAGACTTATTTACAACCCCCACAAAAGCTTTGTTAAACCTGGCCAATACCTCAGATTCTACATTGAATTAAAGGTGATCAAAACTAGGTTTTGACTCATAAAACTCCTTCCCCTGGGAATTAGTAGAATCATTATCACCTTGACAGTCTTCGACAACTTGTGTAAAAGACATGTTATTAACTCTAACATTCCGATTTACATGTTGTTTATTCGCACCCACGTGACTTCTCCCCTTTCCTTACTTCTCCAACGCATGCATACCTTTATCCTTTCCACGAACAAACCTTTGTAGGTTAACATGAATTTTTTTTCCCAGTATAAAAATACTATCCAATTTAGTAGCTAAGACCCTAACATCCAAAACCTTTCTGAATCTAACAAACCCAAACCTTTTGCCTCTTTTGTCTCTTCTAGTTGGCATGTAAACTTCCAATACCAAACCAAACTCCGTGAACACGTCAAACATGTCCTTGGCCATTAAAGCTTCTGGAAACTCAGTAAATAAAAAAGAGTGGATGATTTCCTCATCTCCCTTCTCTTTACCCCTTCTTTCCGTCTAAATAGAAACTCTACTAAACCCAGCCTGATTCCTTTTCTTCCTCACTTCTTCCCATTTGTACCCATTAACCGCCATGGATAAGCAAAACACTCAACCTAAATCAACTGAAAACTTACGAAAAAACAGAAGAAGAAGAAGAAGAAAAAAAAGCAAAAAACGAAGAAGGAATCAACCCCTAAGGAGGAAGGTCCCTAATCCTAAGATTAGGACTTTAAACCAAACTGTTAGATGATGACACGAATCTAGAAGGGGGGTTGAATAGATTCCTTATTTAAAAAATGAGTCGGCGCTACCAATAAAATTGGTTTTTAAAAATTGTTTAATTTGCGGAAGCGGCCGTGGAAAAATACCGTCTATAACGAACGGTTACTAGAAAACCGGATATGCGTTTTAGCCGATGGAATTCAGATAATGAGTAATGAGAATCACTATGCTAGTCACACTATCAACTTGATTTAGATCACTACTTGGTATGACTAGTTCCAATGCCTTAAAATGCCAACAAAATAAATGGACAACACACAAGGATTTTGGTTCAGACAATTTATCAAACAATTGGCGTGCGGAGCACTTCAAGTGAGTTCCTCTAGTTTCCTTGTACAATCAACGATTATACTAGAGTCAAAATCAGTTCAGCACTTACTCAAAACAGTCCTAAATTTGATATAATTGTTTGTACGAAAATCACACAAATATTAAGCAAATGTAAAAGCGTAAGGTAAAAGGCACAAGGATTTGTTGAGGCAGTTCCCCCGCCGTCCTCGCTTCGGGGTACGTCTGCCCTCAATTCTAACAATAGAATTGAGCTCTTATAATATAAATTTAACCTGTTGTAGAATTGTATATATAAGAATGAAATAGCAATCAAACAAACGAACTCCTTTGTTGTTGTAGAAGTTATCTCCTCTTGTCCCTTGATTCGAGTCGAATCAAGTCCTTCGATAACTTGTGTATGAACCTCCGATTACAGCTCTATGTTTGAATAACCTTCCGTCTACAAACCCCAGCCCGGATGATCTCAAACACTCGTGTGTCAAACCCGAACTTCTCCTTCACAATTCACCTATTACCGCTACTAGACTGATGGAACTCACCGCTCCTCGATCACCTTCACTTGGCTGAATATATGTTGAGAAGACTCGTTCAAAAACCCCCAAATTCAGAGAATCTTGAAGGACAAAACCCTAGAGGTTTTATTCAAGAAAACATGTCAATTCCTCAACCTGAATCGGATTACCCAATCTCGGCTTCGAACATTATCACCTTAGATAATCCATAATGTACAACAAAGATTATTGTGTGTGATTGTTGTGGTATGAAATGTAGAAGATGAAGATGATGAGAACTTGAATTGACACCTTTTTCACTTTTCTTGTTTTTGTAATAGATTTAATTGATATGAAATGAATAGAGCAACTGAATATTTATACCAGACAAAACTGTTATAACTGATAAAACTAACTTTCAAAAATAATAGACAACTCAAAAAATATGCAGCAAACAGCGAGCGGTCGACCCATGCCGAGTGCAGGGTCGACCTGAGCTAACCCGAGGCAACATACTGTGCAAAACACACAACTATGCATCGATCGGAACAAGGCATGCGTCGACACAAAGCCTGATTTTTAGACAAATACAAATGACAACAGTATGCGTCGACCGGTAGGTCGACCATACCTAACCTGAGGAAAATGCATTTCTAGGACACTTGCCATGAGTCGACCGGAGCAGAGTTTAGGTCGACTCAAAGACCTGAATTTTTAGACAAATGCAAATGACAACAGTATGCGTCGACCGGTAGGTCGACCATACCTAACCCGAGAAAAATGCATTTCTAGGACATTTTCCATGAGTCGACCGGAGCAGAGTTTAGGTCGACTCAAAGACCTGAAACTTCAAAAAATGCCTAAATTCATATTTTTGATTCTCTTAGATGAAACCTATGATAGACCAATTGAGTTTGACTCGTATGACACATATTTTGACAGCTCTAAATACAGTACTCAAGATATTTAGTGCAAGCAACTAAACATGAGAAATAAGATATGCTTATGCATCATAGTGATAACGCCAAATGACTATTCTTCCATGCGTCTCGATTTTGACATCATCGAAACACGCATATCGCTTTGCCCTCACACAAACCCCCAAGATTAACCCATACCTTCTAAGTTAAACCTTAGCATGAAAGTATGTTACCTTTTTCTCTAGGATTTGTTGTTGTCTGAGTAGGTTTTGACTTGTTGCAGTTTGTCGGTATTTTGATGGCTTATAACATAACAAATTTAAAATTAAGAACCACTTAATCAGAACAAAGCATATCAAATGCTTTTTAAACAAAGAATTGTGTCTAAAAAATTTAATATTTTAATCAAATAAAAATACACTTAATTACAACGGTCAACCGAACATTTCAAATGCCTTTGAAATAGAGGATTGTGTCTAAAAAATTTAATATTTTTAAGGTGTACTCTTCCCAAACATATTAGCCTAAAACTTTGTACAAATGTTAGTATTTCTCTAGGCATGAATGAAAGAATTTTCTCTATGCATGAATGAAAGAATTAGTATCTCCATATTTAAGTTTTGTATGATTTACTTTTGTAAGAGTCTATTTTAGTTTTAAATAAAAGTGTTTTAAAATTTTGTTTTTAAAAATATTTTTAAAAATCATTTTAAATTTTAAAATTTAAAATTAAAAAACCAAAACAGTCTTGAGATGTTTTACTTTTTCATTTTCATTTTTTTTACATGAAAATTGAAAACATAATGAAATTTATGTAATTACTTAATATATAATTTCATTTTGTATTTTATTTATTTCATTTGTTTTATTACCGGATCATTGCAACAAAGAAATGTTTAATTTTTTTGGATGAACTCACGTTCATCTTCAATAAAAATTAATGTTTTTAAATGATTAATTAAATTAATGGTTAAAAAGTAAAATAATTTAATAAATAATTATTTTATCACCACTCTAAAAATTTGAATTTCATCTCGAAAGTCATATTTAATTTATAAAATCAAACTCTTATTATTGAAATATTATGTTTAATTTAATCATATATTTCTAGAGAAGTTATTAAGTCAACTTTTAAAATGAAATGAATTATAAATATAATTATATAAAGTTTCTATCTCGACTTTATTTAGTATTAAAATGGTGTGTTTGTATTTAAATATAAATCATTAGAAATTTAATTATTAATTACAATAAATATATTTTCAATTGATATTAGTTACTAAAACAATTTTTAAAGATTGGATTACTAAATTAATTTTTTCAGTTAATGAATAAATGTTTTTTCAAACATAAATCATTAGAAATTTAATTATTAATTATAATAAATGTTTTTTCAGTTGATATTAGTTACTAAAATAATTTTTAAAATTTGAATTACTAAATTAATTTTTTATTTTCTCAACTCTAAAACTGTTTTTAAAAATTGATTTATCAAATAATATTTTTATTATTTATTTATAAAACAGTTTTGAAAAATTGTGTTACCAAACAAATTTTTTAGTAGTTCTCTTTTTAAAAAAAGAGTTTCCCAAAACAATTTAATAAAAAATGATTTAAACTGAGCCATTAATTTCCTTAAACAACTTTCTAAAGAATTGTGTCTGAAAAATGATAAAAACATAAATAAATTTGAACAAATTAATTATTTTAATAAGGATTATAAATATTTAATATCAAAATACTGTGTATAGGAATTTTAGGATAGTGATCTAGTTTTGATATTTAAAATAAAAATAGAAATTCAACTATTATGTGCATAATGGTGTTAAATGTAACCAAAAGGATGACAAACCTTATAAAAAAAAGCATATTGTGTAGAATATAAAAATATTAGTTATTTGATAAATTGTCAATACATAATAAAAAAAATGTAATTAATTGTATTTCTATCCTATATAATATTTATTCTTATAAAACTTGTATGATATTAAGATTTATAGTTAATACATGAAAAATGAAGCAAATATGTATTATTTGCATGACAATAATAGTCATATTTAATACATGAAAAATGAAGCAAATGAGTATTCTTTTATAAAATATATTTATGATGTTGTGGATGTAGTTGTTGGTGTTCTTTGTAAATGAAATGCATGACTTTAAAAGTTATATTTAATTTATGAGTATAAGAAAAATTCACTCTGTGATTTATTTAATAGTAAAATTTAATTTTTAAATTTAAGAACAAATGGTATATTACATGTGTTTTATATTTTCTTAAAATACCCTTTTACATGTAATTTTTTAAATTTTGATGGTATATTGTAATATTTTTTGGGTGTATTTTTGCTAATGGTTTGGTAGAGATTTGATGTGCAATTTTTAGCTATTAGGTTTACTGAATTGCATTTTTTTGTCTGCAATGTTATGTGTTCTTTTATTTATAAATATAGTTGGTGATGTTATTTGTGAAGGGAATGTATGACTAAAAAGTCATATTTTATTCATGAGTATTAGAAAAATATACTTTGTGTGATTTATTTAATTTGAAATTTTAATTTTCTTTTTACACATTAAAATTTAACTTTTAAATTTAAGAATAAATGACATATTACACATACCATGCGCATATAATTTTCAAATTTTGATGCTATGGTGTATTTTGTTATTGGTTTGTCATAAATTTGATGCTCAATATTTAGATCTAAGGTTTCCTGAATTGTATATTTTTTTTTGCCGTGATCTATTTTGTCTAGAGAAATCATGTCAATGTATTTTATCTATGGGATTAAAATATGGCGATTTTTTTTTTTAAATAATCAAACTTTTTTAAAAGATACTCAAATTATCATGCTTCTAAACTATTTTTCAAACTACCTATATTTTAAATTAAAACAAAACGCATAAAGAGTTCAAGTTAATTGTATTGACGCCACCATTT